TCCTTCCTTCCCTTGCTTCCTCCTTCCGCTCCTTCCTCTCTCCTTCTCCTTCCTTCCTTCTGCTCTCCCCTTCCTTCCTTCCTTCCTCCTTCTCCTTCCTTCCCTTGCTTCCTCCCTTTCTCTGCCACTTCCTCTCTTCCTCTCCTTCCTTCCTTCCTCCTACTCCTCCCTCACTCCCTCCTTGCTTTCTCTTTTCCTCCCATCCTTCTCCTTCCTTCCTTTGCTTCCTCCCTCTCTCCATCTCTCTCCTTCCTCCCTCCCTCCGTTCCTCCCTCCCTCCGTTCCTCCCTCCTTCCCACCTTACTGCCTTCCTTCCTTGCTTGCTTGCTTCCTCTCCTTCCTTCATTGCTGCCTTCCTTCCTTTCCTCCCTCTCTCCCTCCCACTTCCGTCTCCTCCCTCCCTCTCTCTTTCCCCACCTTTGCAGGCAGGATTGCTCTTCCTCCTGGCACACAATGTGGGGATTGACTATCTCAAGAGCTCCCTGGGCATCAGGCTCTGGGAGCTGCCAACTGGCTGTGTGGACGGCCGATGGGCTAGATGACCTCCAAGGGCCCCGCCCATCTCACATTGCTTTGCTAAAACCTGTCCAGGCCCCCTTGAGAATTTCCAGCAAGCTGGGAATCTCCACGGATGCGAGATACTTCTCAAGGCAGAGGAATCACCTAAGTGCGCCTCCATTCTCTTGGAAGACATTTGGAAAAAAATAAAGACGATTTCAAAAAAGGAAGTGACAAATATTCCTTTACTCACTGGGTACCCCTCGGTTTTCTTCTGACACCACTTCAAGAGCGCGTTCCGCTTCGAGCCGCCATATTCCCTCGCCAACGCAGCCAACGGGTCTTTCCTTTCCACACTACAAGCCGGAAGAATAACAGAATGAAAAAAGCCAGAAGGAACCTTGGGAGGTCATCAAGTCCAACCCCCCTGCTCAAGGCAGGAGCCCCTATACTATTTCAGACAAAGGGCTGTCCAGCCTCTTCTTAAAAATAAAAGTAAAAAAGTACTGAAAAGGAAAGTCCTACACTCAGGCAAGGAAAACCCAAAGGACACCTATAATAGACTGGGTGGAACCAGGCTCAATAGCAGGAACTGGGAGGAGGATCTCGGAGTCTTAGTGGACAACCAGCTGAATAGGAGCCGATGTTGTGCAGCAGCAGCCAAAAAAGCCAATGCAATCCTAAGTTGCATGAACAGAGGGATACAATCGAGATCAAGGGAGGGACTAATACCACTCTGTAAAGCCTTAGTAAGGCCACACCTAGAGTACTGCGTCCAGCTTTGGTCACCACACTATAAAAAAGATGTTGAGACTCTGGAAAAAGTGCAGAGAAGAGCAACCAGGAGGATGAGGGGACTGGAGGCTAAAACATACGATGGACGGTTGCAAGAACTGGGCCTGGCTGGTCCAGGGAAGAGAAGGACCAGGGGAGACAGGAGAGCAGCCTTCCAATATTTGAGGGGCTGCCCCAGAGAGGAGGAAGGGGTCAAGCTATTTTCCAAAGCACCAGAAGGCCAGACATGGAACAATGGATGGAAACTGAACAAGGAGAAATTCAACCTGGAAATAAGGAAGAATTTTCTGACAGGGAGAACAATCTACCCATGGAACAGAAATTCCCTTCAGAAGTTGTGGGAGCTTCATCCCTGGAGGCTTTCAAGAAGAGACTGGACTGCCATCGGTCAGAAATGGTGTAGGGTCTCACGCTTGGGCGGGGGGTTGACCTACAAGGTCCCTTCCCACTCTGATTATCTGTAATCTGTTAAAAGCCTCCAGTGATAGAGCGCTCACAACTTCTGGTGGCACGCTGTTCCACTGGCTAATTGTTCTAAATATCTGGAAATTTCTCCTTAGTTCTAGATAGCTACTCTCTTTATATTCGTCTTCTTGTCCTAAATTTCGCCTTCTCCTTGGTTGGCCGGCACAGGAATTCTGGGAATTGAAGTCTGCAAGTCATAACCTTGCCCTATACAGGTAGTCCTTGGCTGACGACCGTAACTGAGCCCAATTTTTTCCTCCGTTGCTAAACGAGGCATGTGCGAAGCGAAGGTTGCGACCATATTATGACCTTTCTTGCTGCAGGGTTGCTCCGCAGGAATCACGGCCGTTGTTAAGCGAGTCGCACAGTTTTCCAGTGAATTCGGCTCGTTACGACGGTCGCAAAAGGGGAAAAAAAATCACGTGGCCTCGGAAACACTTGTCAGAAATATGAGTTAGTGGCCAAGCCTCTGAGTTTTGATCACCATCGATCACAGGGTCATTCCTTACATGTGAAATTGGTCCCAAGTCGCAGGGTTTTTTATTTTTTTCAGCGCCACCCTAACTTCGAACGGTCGGTAAACAAATGGTCGTAAGTCCAGGACTACCTGTAACTGGCACCCACACCCACAAACACACACACATCTTACCTCACAAGCAACTACTTGACTCACCTGAGTTTGCTGGGTGGTTTCAAACCGCTGGGCGTGGACGTGAACATCCGTCCGGCGAAGGCCAGGTTGGGGGGCTTGCTCAGCGATTCCAGGGAGGGGCTCTTGCGTAGGAACGGGTCTGGTTTCATCTCTTCGTTCCTCCCTTTGAGCAGATCTTGGGAGGAAAGGACGAGAAGAAACCCCCACGCCAAAATTTAGACATAACATAGAATTAAGTAAAACTCCACACTGGCGACAGGAAAGGCCTCCGGCCCGTAAAAACACTCCACTTCGTTCGGCTGCCCAGACTCCACCTCGCAAGGGATGACAGGGTCGTTAAAAGTGGATGATGACTTTAGTGGGTCACACACCTCAATTATTCTTTGGTCAACCATTTGAGCGGCTGCAAAAGCCCACCGTGCGAATGGTGCGGTGGCCTAGAGGCGGAATTCTCGCCTCTCAATCAGGAAACTGTCATGCCCCTGTTGGAGTCTGATTCCGAGGGGGAACTTGAGCAGCTGACAGGGAGCATGAGTGTGGCTCCGCTGGCTGCGGAGGAAACTGGGGAAGGGCAAAGTCCGGCTGGGCATTCAGAGGAAGACCCAGGCCCAACCCTCTCTTCATCCTAGGGCACTCAGGGAGGAACGGAGAAGGGAGCAACCTGAGTTACATGGCTTACGGGGGAGGAAAGGGTCCTGAGCGCCTTCATTAGCTGCAGCTGGGAAAACAGGATTTAAAAAAGGTGTTTGCGCACAGCACGTCGCTGGAAGCAAAGCGTGCATTATCTTTGTTTGTCAAGTCTTATCTGGGTTCTGGCGTCCTCCCACCTGTGTGTGTTTCGTTATCTTTTGAAATCTGCAATTCCTTATCCTACCCTGTCCCGTTAATGGCTGCAGCGTGGTTTGTGTTGGTTTTTATTTATAATTTATATGTACTTTGGGTTCGGACTGAATTTCTTCCCTTTAAAAACTGTTCTTGGGAGATTTTATTTTTTTCTCCAGCCGATGATAACTGGACATTGGGGGTCAAGTTGGAGGAATTAAAGGGACTTCTACCTACTAGTGGGACTTGGTTGCTTTTGTGCCACGCCCCTTTGGGTCATCACAGAAACTCTGTGAGTTCGATCCTAGGTAAGCGGCGGATATTTCTCTCTCTGGGCAGTGAGAATATATCTGCTGAATAAAACTCCACACTGGCAACAGGAAGGGCAGGTGGCCAGTAAAAACACTCCGCTCCATTCAATTGCTCAGACTCCACCCTGCAAAGGATTACGGAGTCGTTAAAAGAGGATGAGGATGATTTTGGGTGCTTCTTCTTTGCACCAACGGTGCGTTTGAACCCTGTGCCTCGTTCCACGGCAGGAGGAGGCGTATTTTTGGAATAAAACGACATGACAAGATTCTCAGGCAGCCTCTCCATCAGAGCGATCAGCAGAAGAATATTGAAAATAATCAGTAAATACAATTTGCGCCAAGAACTGTGGCACCAGGTGTGTATTGTCTATTCTTTTTCCTGGCTGTAATTATCATTTTTTTTTTCCAAGAATCAAGAACTCCCTAAAGAGATTTCTAACTCGGGTCGTCTCTGAGGCTGCGGTTTGGAAGCTGCTAAAACAAATTCTTTCTATGGTTTTTCATTGCGCGTGTTCGTTGTGTCTACATAATTTAAGTGTCTACACAATTAAGGCAACAACGGAATCCAATCAACTTTAATGTGTTCACTCCGGCTTGGAAAACAAACACATCCAGACTGTTGCATCTGAGACCCAAAGAATCGAAGACTCCTTAAAAATGTGACTCTTTATTAAAAGCCACACCTGGGATTTTGTATCCAGGTTTGGTCTCCATATTATGAAAATAATAACAATAATAATGGTGATGATGGATAAATGAAAAAATACCTACGCAGGAGGAAATTATCAAGAAAATCATGGACTGTGCCGAAATGAGTAAATTGCCATTTGAAATTACAGAACAAAAAGATAAAACGATTTTATATGACGTGGGATTTATTTTATCAAGGGTTAGATAAAAAGACACGGTAAGGAAATAGATTAGGAAGCTCTACAATAAAAGTTAATCGATTGATGTAGAATACAATATAAAATATATAACCGTTGGATGAATGTATAAGATTAAACCATTATGAAATTTAGAATATCTCGTACAGAATGATGGAAAAATAGCTCAGTCAAAGGAATGATTAATAATTGATATTAGATAAGCGCATGTTAGATTGACAAGGGGAGAATTTATGCAACTTGTGAGTAACGGTAAAAAAATAGGATAGCAGAAAAGATTGTAACCAACTGACAGACTGTATATCATTGAAAGATGGTTTTATGTTTTTATGTTTTGTCTGTATGTTTGTTGTGAAAAATAAAAAAGTTTACAAAATAATAATAATAATAATAACGATGATGGAATGGGCAGGATTTGTCTCCTAGCTGATAAAATACAGTAACTTCCCCTTCCCACTGCTGGTCTAATGGGCACATAGCTTTCCCTTGACTTCTAAACAGTTCACTTAGTGTCCGTTCAGTTACGGCGGCAGTGGGAAAAGGGCTGTTTTTCACACGTACGACCGTTGCAGCCACGTGATCATAATTCGGACGTTTTGCAAGCGACTCATAGTTACGACTATCGCAGCAGGGGGTCGCGTGATCCCCTTTTGCGAACTTCTGCCCGGCCAAGCCCAGGGGGGGGGGAGGTGGGAGCCAGTTTCACTTAACAACCGTGTTCCCAACTGAACGGCGGCAGGGATTCGCTTAATGACCGAGGCGAGAAAGATCGTAGAACGAGGCCAAACTCATTCCGCCAAGGTCTCGGTTAACAATGAGGAAACTCGGGGTTTCCATGGTGGCCGTTAAGTCGAGAACTGCCTGGGTATATTAACGCGTAGGGCTGTGGCTGCAGGATGATTATTTAGCTCCTGTGTTATTATTATTATTATTATTTTAAATTCCTTCCCCTTTTATGGGCTGGGAGACGCCAGCTAGTTTTGGATTTCATCCCAGAACACGGTGCAATGGCTTTGGCACCTGTGGCATTCGGGCACGAGTTCAAATAGGCCGATGTCCCTGCCGAGTTTCCACCCGGCCTCGGATAAGTCCAATAATGCTGAATAACGCAAAAGGGAAAACGATGGCTCCTTGGAGACAGAGCTGTGGAAATATCTCAGGAGGGATGAACCAAGAGGTTGGTAGGTCCTACCTGCGTTCCTCCTGCCAGGTGGACAGCTAAAGAGACGGGAAATAGCAAGAGCCCTTCAATTGATAAACCACTTCACGGTGCTTTTACAGTCCCTTTCTAAGCGGTTTATAGAGCCAGCCTCTTGCCCCCAACAATCTGGGTCCTCGTTTTACCGACCCTGGAAGGAGGGAAGGCTGAGTCAAGGTTGAACTGGTCAGGATCGAACTGCTGGCTATGGGTAGAGTTTGCCTGCAATACTGCATTACAACCACTGCACTGGTTTCCTTCCTTCTCCTTGTTTTCCTTCTTTCTTTCTTTCTTTCTTGTTTTCCTTCTTTCCTTCCTTCTCCTTGTTTCCATTCCTTCCTTTTTGTTTTCCTTCCTTCCTTCTCATTTTCCTTCCTTCCTGTTTCCCTTGTTTCCCGTTTCCCTTCCTTCCTTTCTTCCTTCCTTCCTTCCTTCCTTCCTTCTCATTTCCCTTCCTTCATTCTCCTTGTTTCCCTTCCTTCCTTCCTTTCCCTTCCTTCCTTCTCCTTATTTTCCTTCCTTCCTTCCTTCCTTCCTTCCTTCTCATTTCCCTTCCTTCATTCTCCTTGTTTCCCTTCCTTCCTTCCTTCCTTCCTTCCTTCCTCTCTTTTTTCCCTTCCTTCATTCTCCTTGTTTCCCTTCCTTCCTTCCTTCCTTCCTTCCTTCCTCTATTTTTTCCCTTCCTTCATTCTCCTTCCTTCCTTCCTTCCTTTTTGTTTTTCTTCCTTCCTTCTCATTTTCCTTCCTTCCTTCCTTCCTTCCTTCCTTCCTTCCTTCCTTCCTTCCTTCCTTCCTTCCTTCCTTTCCTTCCTTCCCTTCCCAATAGCACCTAGATTAATATACCGCTTCCCAGTGTTTTCCAGCCCTCTCTAAGCGGTTTACAGAGTCAGCCCCTTGCTCCCAACAATCTGGGTCCTCATTTTACCCGTCTCGGAAGGACGGAAGGCTGAATCAACCTTGAGCCGGGTGAGATTCGAACTGCAGGCAGCCGGCCATCAGCAGAAGTAGCCTGCAGAAAGCTGGCTTCTTTTCACACGGGGAGATAAACGGGTGCCAGTCTTTTTTCTTCTTATTCTTATTATTAAATGGAATGATGACGGAATACTGGGGTTGAAAGGGACCTTGTGAGGTCTTCTACTCTAACCTCCCACCCTTATATCATCCTGGAGAAATGGCTGTCGGATCTGTTCTTGAAAACCTCCAGCAATGGAGCCCCCACAACTCCAGGGGCCAAACCGTTTCAGTGACTGCAGTGGTCTCTGAGCTTGGTGGTTTTCTTGTAACGTCATCAGTGCTAGAAGGGAGGGGGGGTTTGTGGGGCATGAGAGGAGGAGAATTGTAGGGTCCTGCGGGGGCTCTCTGAGCTGGATGGTTTTCTTGCAGATGTTTCATGACCCAACTAGGTAACTTCATCAGTGTTAGAAGGGAATGGAGTTTGTTGTGGAGGAGGAAGAAGAAGGAGAAGAAGGAGAAGAAGAAGACGAAAAAGAAGGAGAAGGAGAAGGAGGAAGAAGGAAGAAAGAAGAAGAAGAGGAGGAGGAGGAGGAGAAGAAGAAGGAGAAGGAGAAGGAGAAGGAGAAGGAGAAGAAGAAGAAGAAGAAGAAGAAGGAGAAGGAGAAGGAGAAGGAGAAGGAGAAGGAGAAGGAGAAGGAGAAGGAGAAGGAGAAGGAGAAGAAGGAAGAAAGAAGAAGAAGAAGAAGAAGAGGAGGAGGAGGAGGAAGAGGAGGAGAAGAAGAAGAAGAGGAGGAGGAAGAAGAAGAAGAAGAAGAAAAAGAAAGAAAGAAAGAAAGAAAGAAAGAAGGAGGAGGAGGAGGAGGAGGAGGGAGGAGGAGGAGGA